TTTACATCGGCCTTTTCCCGAAGATGTATGGGGGAATCTATGGGGGGGGTATCCTTGCCACATCCAGGCGCTAAAGCATACTCTTGAATCTCTGCTGATCCCAACTGTCTTGCATATTTTGGTCCTCGCCGACGCGCACTGCTGCAGTACCGGGCCCGGGGCCGGACCTTTATCTTATCGAGCGCTGCGCTCCGAACGGTTTTTTTCTCGGATCGCTGTCACTCGGACGCGACGGCTCAAGCCAGCCAGCGTTTGCCCAACGCAAAAAGGAGGAGGAGGAAGAGGAGGAGGGAGGAGGAGGAGAAGGGAGGAGGAGGAGGAGGAGGAGGAGGAGGAGGAGGAGTGCGAGTGCGAGGTCACGTGCGAAGGCCAGAGGGAGGCGGGGCGAGGGCGACGAGGGGCAGGGGAGACGGATGCTGCAGGGGGAGGACGAGGCTCCCCTCCTCCTCCTCCTCCTCCTCCTCCTCCTCCTCCTCCTCCTCCTCCTCCCACCTCCTCCTCCTCCTCCATCCCTTTTTCCTTATAAATAGCTTCTCCCTGTCGCACCCCGAAGCCAATTTTTTGAGCGGGCCGGGCGTTTCGCCTGAGACTTCCTCACCACTTATGACTCCGAAGCTAAAAAAATTGGCAACAGTTTCACAGACGAAGGCGGGTCGTTTTCAAAATGTGGCTCTCGCCTTAGCACGGCGCACATTCGTTCCAAAAAGTTGCAAGAGCTTCACGGATTGAGGGCGGGTCGTTTTCAAAATGTGGTTCTCGCCTGAGCACGGCGCACACTCGTTGTAAAAAGTTGCACGAGTTTCAAGGATTGAGGGCGGGTCGTTGTCAAAATGTGGTTCTCGCCTCAGCGCGGCGCACAGTCGTTGGAACAAGAAGAGTTTCACGGATTCAGGGCGGGTCGTTGTCAAAATGTGGCTCTCGCCTGAGCACGGCGCACATTCGTTCTAAAAGTTGCAAGAGCTTCACGGATTGAGGGCGGGTCTTTTGCAAAATGTGGCTCTCGCATTAGCGCGGCGCACATTCGTTCAAAAAGATTGCATTGAGGGCGGGTCGTTGTCAAAATGTGGTTCTCGCCTGAGCGCGGCGCACATTCGTTTACAATATTTGCACGAGTGTCACAGATTCCCATCATCAACGTAGCAGAAATGGTGTTTTCAAACGATTCAGGATTGCGCGGGCGCAACAGTTACATTGATTCGCTGCGCTGAAGTCCCAGGAACGAGGTTCTAGTACGATTCAGGACCGTCAACACGCAATAGTCAGTTTGATCCGTGGCGTTGAATCCCGGGAACAATGTTTTGGCATGCTTCAGGGTCTTCAAACGGTTGTCTTCCAACGAGGCAATAATCAATGAAAATGAACCGTTGTAGGGGCCTATGAAGAGGGAGCTTGGAGGGTGGGTGTATTCCCAACATCGTTGATGACTCTTGGGTTTACACTGGTCCTCCTCCTTCTCCTCCTCCTCCTCCGCCAGGGTGCCAGACGAGCAAGGCGTCAGGGGGCGCCATGAGGAGCGAGAGGAACGACGCCTATCGACGCTCATCGAAGCTAAATCGACACAAATCGACGCTAATTCGGCGCTCGATTACCGGACGCTAATCGGCCAGAGTGCCCTCCAAAGACGGAACCACGAGGGTACGCGAGGCACCCATGATTTGCTGCCGAACACCCGCATGCCACCGCCCACACCCTTCTACATAGAGAGCAGACAATCCACCCTCATCAGAAGCACCCCAACAAGCAAAGCCCTTTCGCAAAAACGCACCCCAAGGGAAGGAACCGACCAGGGAGGGGCTGCTCAGCAAACGCAACAGGCCGCTCAGTAAACGCCACTTGTCGGGGTCGGGGTGACGTTTTTCCTTCCTTGATTCTACGCTCAGGTCGTGCATGTCCTCCTACGGGCGGATTTTGGACGAAAACTTAAAAGTTTACAATAAATCCACCGAAATTATCAAAAATTATCCTGGCGATGGACCCAACCATATGCAGTTACGAGTACCGCAAAGCAGGTTGAACGAATGAGAGGGAACTCCCTATGGGGCCACGAAACGTGTGAGGGGTGTGCCGAAATGGGCGCGGTGCCGCCATGCGAACGCAGCCACTGGGGCCCTCGGTGGAGCTCCCTCAGGGGCCACGAAACGTGTGAGGGGTGTGCCGAAATTGGTGCGGTGCCGCCATGCGAACGCAGCCACTGGGGCCTTCGGTGGAGCTCCCTATGGGGCCACGAAACGTGTGAGGGGTGTGCCGAAATGGGCGCGGTGCCGCCATGCGGACGCAGCCACTGGGGCCCTCGGTGGAGCTCCCTATGAGGCCAAGAAACGTGTGAGGGTTGTCCCGAAATGGGCGCGGTGCCGCCATGCGAACGCAGCCACTGGAGCCCTCGGTGGAGCTCCCTATGGGGCCACGAAACGTGTGAGGGGTGTGCCGAAATGGGCGCGGTGCCGCCATGCGAACGCAGCCATTGGAGCCCTCGGTGGAGCTCCCTATGGGGCACGAAACGTGTGAGGGGTGTGCCGAAATGGGCGTGCCGCATGCGAACGCAGCCACTGGGGCCCTCGGTGGAGCTCCCTATGGGGCCACGAACCGGGTGAGGGGTGTGCCGAAATGGGCGCGGTGCCGCCATGCGAACGCAGCCACTGGAGCCCTCGGTGGGGCTCCTATGGGGCCACGAAACGTGTGAGGGGTGTGCCGAAATGGGCGCATGCCGGCTGGAGCTCCTATGGTGCCACGATGCGAACGCAGCCACTGGAGGGGGCCACGAAACGTGTGAGGGGTGTGCCGAAATGGGTGCGGTGCCGCCATGCGAACGCAGCCACTGGGGCCCTCGGTGGAGCTCCCTATGGGGCCACGAAACGTGTGAGGGGTGTGCCGGTGCGGTGCCGCCATGCGAACGCAGCCATTGGGGCCTTCGGTGGAGCTCCCTATGCGGCCACGAAACGTGTGAGGGGTGTGCCGAAATGGGCGCGGTGCCGCCATGCGAACGCAGCCACTGGGGCCCTCGGTGGAGCTCCCTATGGGGCCACGAAACGTGTGAGGGGTGTGCCGAAATGAGTGCGGTGCCGCCATGCGAACGCAGCCATTGGGGCCTTCGGTGGAGCTCCCTATGGGGCCACGAAACGTGTGAGGGGTGTGCCGAAATGGGTGCGGTGCCGCCATGCGAACGCAGCCACTGGGGCCTTCGGTGGAGCTCCCCACGAAACGTATGGGGGTGTGCCGAAATGGGTGCGGTGCCGCCATGCGAACGCAGTGGTGGAGCTCCCTATGGGCCACGAAGCGTGTGAGGGGTGTGCCGAAATGGGCGCGGTGCCGCCATGCGAACGCAGCCATTGGAGCCCTCGGTGGAGCTCCCTATGGGGCCACGAACCGGGTGAGGGGTGTGCCGAAATGGGCGCGGTGCCGCCATGCGAACGCAGCCACTGGGGCCCTCGGTGGAGCTCCTTATGGGGCCACGAAACGTGTGAGGGGTGTGCCGAAGTGGGTGTGGCTGACGCGGAGGGGGAGGAGGGAGGAGGGGGAGGAGGAGTGAGTGAGGGACGCGGGGCGCTGTCTCTTCTAAACGAGGACCCAACACCACAGGATGGTTGGGAATAATAGAGAAACGTCCCCATACTATTTTTGAGCTATCTTTAAATGTAAAACCAGTAGAGAGAGACACACCCGACTTGATTCTAAGACCCGCTCGAACCTGCCCGCTCACCCTCCTTCTCGACCCCGTTTTGTAGCGCCCGGGGCCCTCCCCGTCCCTCTCCGTGTCCTGGCGGCGCGCAGAAGGGGGGCAGGGGGAGGGGGGAAGGCTCCTTGGAAGGAGGCAGCCTCTTGGAAGGCGCGGGCCTTATTTACATCTACAGACAAGGCCCAATTACCCCCCCTCTAAAAGCTTTCGCCCCTCCCCCTACCCCCCTCTGCGCGTGGCCGAACGTCATGCGCAGGGCCGATCCGCTCGACTCGATCCGGCCGCCTCGGCTCGCTCGCAGGCCGCCGGCCAGGGGAGGGGGGGCCTCGAGGGACAGGGAGGCCACACAGCACGGCGCGCACACGCTTCCCCCTCCGCGCCGAGAAGGGGTCCAGCTGGCGGGGTATCCAGCAGCAGATGATTGACCAAAAAAGGACCCCTAACCCCTTGGGAGGGGACCTAAGTCAGGAGGGCCAGGAACACCAGGGACAGGGGGTATCTGCTGCAGGCGTATCGAACCAAACCGCCCGGAGGGGGACCTCCGTGAGGCCACGCCTTCATCGTGCTATTAGGGTCAGGGCTTCTTGCTTATCCTCAGCGAGCGGGGGTGCCAGCGACTGGGGCGCGCCTCCCCGAGGAGCGCGCAGGGGGCGGCAGGGCTGGCACTCCCCGAGAGGCGCCCGGCGGCGAGCCGCGGCAGGCGGCGCGCGCGGGACAGAAACGGCCAGGCGCAGAGAGAGAGAGAGAGAGAGAGCGGAGGCGGGCCACGGCACACGCACGCGACCACGCGACAGGACGGGGAGTCAGATCGGCGATCGAAATGAATCGGGTCGGCGGAGATCGGCAGCCGAGTCGGGAGAGGTCGAATCGGCGGAAATCGGCAGGCTGGTCGTATCGGAACCCAAACCAGAATCCCAAATCAGAATCGAATCGGAATCGGAAGCCATCGAAATCGACTCGACTCGAATCGAAGAAATCGAAATGAGGGGGGGGCGGCGGAGGCGGCGGGCTGGACCCGCACGCACCACGAGCGCTGCCACGACCAGCACAGAACACAATCGGCACTCCCCAGGCCCCCTCGAGTCATGAAAAAATCACAACGGGAGCTTTCTCACTTATGTCGGCCTCCGGGAGCCCTTCCCGGGCCCCGGGACCGTCGAAAAACTACTTAGGACGAAAGACCGGTCCCGGGGAAGGAGTCGAGACGTCTGGCGGTCGACGTCACCAAAAAAATCATGACCTCGGAGGTCTGGGTCTTCAGTCTCTGACGAGAGTTTCAGGCGGCACCCGCGGCGGCGGCAGCGAAGGAGGCGGGTCTCTGGCGCACCACACAGCGGCGGCTTCTCTGAGCGCATGAACATTTCGAGGTGGCTGAAGAAGTCGATCTCGTCCTGAATAGCTCGGCGTCAGGGGGCGCGCGAGAAGGAGGAGGAGGAGAGACGAGGACAGGGAGGAAACAGGAAGACGGAATCGAGGAGAGGGGAAGAAAGAGGGGCGGAGTGGCCTGGAGAGCCCGGGAGAGAGGAAGGACGAGATTGGCTGCCGGCGGAGGAGGAGGAGGAGGAGGAGGAGGAGGAGGAGCAGCAGCAGCAGCAGCCTGCAGCGCGGCGGGCGGAGGGGAGCACGAGAGCAGGAGCAGGAGCGCGGGGAGGAGGCTGCCGCGGCGGCGGCGCCGAAAGGCAGCGGTGCCCCCCAGCGGGCGGAGAGCGGCGCGGCGGGGGGCGGCCAGTGGCCGCCGCGGCAGGCGGCGGCGGACGGGCGGGCGGCAGCTCTGAGGGTGTGCCCGCCAGGCGGCGCGGCCAGGGCCGAGGATACCAAAGAGCTCTCGAGCTGTGACTGCGCAGTGTTGCCGCCTGACTCCGGGACGTGCGGCAGGTTCGTGTCGTGACGACCCAGGCGTTGGCTTCTGACACCACCTGGATCGCTCATCCTTGAGCGCTTGCAGCTCTCCGATACCGTCAACCCGTATAGCAAGGATGCGCGATAAGGATGCAGGGGCCTCGGAAGCCCATTTCGAAGCTGCTCCAGCGGGGCGCGGCCAACGATAGTGGCCAAGGATGGACCGAGGAGGCAAGGAGGCAAGGGTACCGTGGGGAAGGTTGCCCATCCTCACTATGCTGGTTGACTGAGCGCGGATCGTTCGATGTCGGCCGATGCTGGGCTATGTACTGGGGGCGTTCAACCTTGAACGACCGCGCCAGGGTCGCCGCCACGTCGACGCAGCGCGAACCTGCTGTGCAGCCACAGAGAGCCCAACACTTCTTGCGCAGCTAAGGCCAGGGCTCGAGCTAAACAGTGTTTCCGTTTTCGCTTTGTTGTGTCTTCACTCGCTCTGTCGTCGTTCCACCTTTTACTGCACAACGAACTCAAGACGAGAACAGCCCACGAGGTCGCCAAAGCACCGTTGAGCTCGAGCCCTGGCTTGGGCCAACCCAGGCGCAAGGGCACCCCCAAAGCCCCGACGCCGTAGTCTTTGCCACGACGCGGACCCCCAGAGGCCTGGACCACTTCCCTAGAACCGGCTTCTCGTCCCGAGGCCTGCCTTAACTGGACAAGCGCGCTCCACTACTCAAAAAATAACTACTCGCAATGACCTGGATCCGTTGCGAGGCATCTACGATCCATTACAAAGGGGAATACATGCGTTTTTTGTCGGACGTTTGCGAGTAGGCACTTTGCGAGTGGTGGAACTAGAGGCCTCCTAGATTCTAGATGGAGTCCGAGTAGATGGGGTTGAAGTATCGCGCCGCATCGCCAATGCATCGCCGATGTATCGGCGGTGCATCGGCGATGCCTCGGCGACGTCGGCCACGCTTCCGCGACATCGGCGTGAAGAGAATCGGGCTCCACATCGAGCCGCATCGGCGATGCATCGGCGATGCGGCGCGATCCTCCGACCCCATCTACTCCGACCCCATCTTAGCAGCCTGGAGAGTAGGCACTTTGTGAGTGGTGGAACGCGCTCAGTGATTTGCGAGGCGGGGATTTATCCATATCCACCGCCTGATATGGATATATTTTGGCCCCTGGGGGCCCGAATATATCCATATCCACCTCCTGCCGAGGACCCCGAAAATTGATCCTCCAGGCGGTGGTCATGCACAAATTCCCGCCTCGGATGGCTGGCGCTCCCAGGGCCTGGCGAGGGCCCCTGGCGGCCGACCACGCAGCAGCTCCGGAGCAGACCGACTGCCGCCGTGATTCCATCTCTCGACGGGGGGAGGCTCTCGGGCGCGAGCTGATGGGATGGGGGGCGATACAGTCGAACTTGATTGGAGAGGACACGCGGGTGGACAAGAGTAGGGAACCGAACTCAAAACACCGACATGTTTTGCGGCCCTGCACTGAAATTTGCACAGGAAAGCGGATCCTGGTGTATACGGGATCCTGGTGATTACATGTTCCGCTGTTTCCTCGGGGAACGGAAACATCAAGCATACACCACACCACCCTGACGTCGCCCCCGACCCTCAAAAAGATCTCGGATGGAAAAGCAGCCCGCCACTGGTATTGTATATGTTTCAGTTTCCGTGAACATTGCTGTGGGAATGTGGAAGGCACCAGTCTCTGAAGACAGGACACAAGGGTACCCTGGACTTGGCAGGGCCGGCCTACTAATCAAGGCCGACTGTAAATGAGGGGGGGGAGAAAGGTGCCCTCGAAAGGCCCTGAAAGCCCCTTCTTGGGCCCCGAAGGGCCCCATGAAGGGGCCCTGCAAGGCCCCTTTTCGGCAGCCCTCGCTGCCCCCCAATTCTATCACCCTCCGATTACGCTCCAAGGTTCCGTTTACCCAAGGGGGACCAGGAAAGGATAGTGTATTGTGCAGAAGCGTGGAGGGCCAGAACCGGCTGCGCGACACGCTGTGCCCAAAATCCTGACCGTATGTACCGCCCTCTCGGAAGACGGGGGGACGACGCCAACCACAACTGCACCGATTCTGGCCAGGCCAGGCGCGTCCTGACCCCAACATCGGAGCGTGTGCGGCGGTCGCCCGTTTTCGAGGGCGCGCAAACATGGACTAGGGATCCATGAATTTGGCGCGCGGTCGCCAAATCCATGGATCAGAGGAGGTGCCTCGCCAACATGCGGCCGGTGCCGCCTCATCTGGCGGCAAAAATCCGCGATTTCCCGTGGAAACATGACCCATGGTTGGGATCGCCTGACGTTTGGCGACCGCCGCCCGCCGCTGCCTCGCCGCAGCCCCCTTGGGCCGCCCACTTGGCGGTCCTGTCGGTCCCGCTGCCACTGGGCGCCCATGCGCCACTGCCCTGGAGGGCTCTTTGCGAGGCGGGGATCTATCCATATCCACAGCCTGGAAACCGACGTCCTGGTGCCCCAGCGGGCGGCGGATATGAATATATTTTGGCTCTCGGGGGCCCGAATATATCCATATCCACCGCCTGCCGAGGTCCCCAAAGAGTTGTTCTTCAGGCGGTGGTCATGTGTAGACTCCCGCCTCGGACCCTTGCGCCGCCACTGCCCCGTGAGGGTCCAGCTTCCCTCCACCGCCCTGCCGGCGCGCGCGCGCCCGCGGGGCCGACGACCGGCGGGCGGCAACGGCTCAGCAGCCTTACAACGGGCATGCCCTCCTACAGGTGGACGTTGAAGAAAAATGAAAATGAGTGTCAGGATACTCAAACATAGTCAAAAATACTCAAACAATCGTCCCAAGACCATGTTTTGCCTGTTTGCGAATATTCCTCCTGTATAAGGACGTGCGGCATACCAGGCTGGGGAGGAGGAGGAGGAGGAGGAGGAGGAGGAGGGGAGGAGGAGGAGGAGGAGGAGGAGGAGGACGAGGAGGGGGAGGAGGAGGAGGAGGAGGACGAGGAGGAGGAGGAGGAGGAGGAGGAGGAGGGAGCAGCAGGGAGGAGGAGGAGGAGGAGCAGCAGGGAGGAGGAGGAGGAGGAGGAGGAGGAGGAGCAGCAGGGAGGAGGAGGAGGAGGGGGAGGAGGGAGGAGGAGGACGAGGAGGACGAGGAGGAAGAGGAGGAGGAGGAGGAGGAGGAGGAGGAGGAGGAGGTGTGCCGCCGCTCTCGCCCGGCTTCGGGCCCCGACCCTCCTTCGCAGAGCGCTCCCCAGACCTCCTCCGCCTCGCGCTGTGACAAAAAATCACGGCAACAGATTTTTCGCTGTCTTCGGCCTACAGTGGCCCTCGCCGGGCCCTTGGACCGTCAGAGAAGGCTCAGGATGCAAAACCGGTGCCTGGGAAGGGGTCCAGGCTCTTTGGAGGTCGCGTCTTGAAAAGTCACGACGTCGGGGGTCTTGGTCTGGGTCGTAAGATGCCGCAGGAAGATTGGGTCTCGGTCTCCCATCGTGATGTTTACCACGAGGTGGCAACTTTTCGCGGCGTCGGATCTCCCAAGGAGGACCTGCCAAGCCAATACTGGCTCGGGTGAGGCTGGCGCCACGGGAGAGAGGGGGGATGGGGCCCGCTGTAGCTTCGCACGCGTGCGATCCTCGCGGTGCCGAATCAGTTGGTCCTTGGGGTCTCTCGGGGCCCTCTTGAAGCCTCCGAGGCCCCTCGAATCAGCACTCGCTCGTGACTTCTCCCTGCACGTGGCGGCAGGCCACAGTGTCGTCGGAGCGGCGGGATCGCATGCAATCCCCGATGGGGATTTGACTACCTACCAGACCACCCCAACCCAACCCGAAGACCCGAATTTCGGGTTGGGGGGTACAGGTTCCATCCGTGTTCTTCTAATCTTCCCCGACCCTCCCCCACTGGAAATGGGAGACAAATTGAGGGCTGCGGGTTGGGTTGGGGTGGTTTGGTGGGTGGTGAGGGTTGGGGGGAGGGGGGAGGAGGAGAACGCTCCAGGGAGGCCGAAAGCACACCTCCAGTGAGCGGGGCAGGGGGGCAGAAGGCACTCCCTGCGAGGCCCGCAGTACTGGCGCTCACGCGGCGGGGGCGACGCCTTGATGTTGCATCCTCGGGGGACCTCGTCTGTCCAGGGGTCGAATCCATGTCGAATACACGTCGGACTCGTCGGATCCGTGTCGAACCCGTGTCGAATCCGCGTCGAGTCCACGCCAGATCCGCGTCGAGTCCGCATCGAGCCCGCGTCGGGCCCAGGAGAAGGCATTAGGGGGACGGGCGAGGTCCCCCGAAGACGCAACGTGATGAGGCGGGCGTCCTTCGTCCCGAAGGGGTAGAAGGCCCCCACGGCGCCCAGCAGCGTGGAATAGCAGATCAGCTCGCTGCCGCCCTGGATGCGCCGGGGAGGAACAGGGCGGGCCGCTCAGAATTCCGACGTCGTGATTGTGTCGTGACGTGGACCCCTAGAGGTCTAGACCCCTTCCCTCCAGACCCCCTCGCGTTGTGGAAAAAACACGACGGGAGGTTTTCTGCTATGTTCGGCCTCCAGGGGCCCTCGCCAGGCCTTGGGACTGTCAAAAAAAGACTCAGGATGGAGAACGAGTCCCCAGGAGCGAGCCGTCTTCCAATTGTGGCTCTCGCCTCAACGCCGCGCACATTCGTCCTAAAAAGTTTGCAAGATGTTCACGGGTGGAGGGCGGATTGTTCTCCAAGTATGGCTCTCGGGCTAGCGCCGCGCACAGTCGTTCAAAGGTTGCAGCAATTCGACGGGTTCCCATGGCTGACGTCTCAAGCACGGCTTCCCAGCACGATTTAGGACTGTCAGGGCGCAACAGTCACGCTGACTCATGGTATGAAGTCCCAGGAATGATCCTCTGGCACGATTGGGAATCGTCAGGACGCAACAGAAAGATGATTCTCGACGTTCAAGTCAAAGGAGTGGTGTTTTGGCAGGATAAAAGATTCCCAGATGGTTGTCTTACAACGGGGCCGCCATCTCTTGCTGTGAAACACCTTTGTGCTTTTGGCCACTTCTGGCCTCCAGGGGCCCTCGCCAGGCCCCAGGACCGTCAAATAAATACTCGGGATGAAAAACTCGATCCCAGGGATGGGGTCTGGACCTCTGGGATCCACATTGTGACAAGATCACGACGTCAGAAATCTGGGTGCAACGAGGGGGCGGGGGGAGCCATGCGCGTGTGCGGAGAAGAATCGTGGGCACTCGCCTCGCCTGGGCTCGATTCGTTTTCAAGACGGCGCAAGAGGTCCCAGGAGGTCCCCGAGCACAGTTCGTTTCCAACCGATGCCAGAGCTAAAGCATGATTCATCGGACTTTCAACCGCAGACACAACGTTTAAACACAAGCCATGGTTCAATACTTCGAAAGTTTCTGAGGACAGGCGAGCAAAACCCTGGAGCATTGAAAAACAGTATGGTTTCGAACGGTTATAATATGTTGGAGTGCCCGTCCGACGTAATTCGTGAGGATGTCTCGAGCGAAGTATTTGTTTTTGAGCACGCGTGATGAAACTACCATTGGCTGCTCGGTGCTATTGCCTCTTTAGCCGTCTGGAAGGTTCCCCAACAGGTATGGCCAAAAAAACACCAGCGAGAACAACATGATGAAAGCTACGAAAAGATCGCGATCTCCGCCACAGCCACAGCGGCCCGGTAGAATGCCGAGTGCTGTCTCGTTAAGGTTTCCGCGTGAATCCGCCGACCCGTTGGGGATCATCGGCGTGTGAGATGCTTCCCCCTCCCCAAACCCCTCCCCCCGGAGCCTGGCCCAGTCGATTTGGAGGGGGGGGTCGCCGTCGGGCCCGAGCTCATCAGGGGGGAGCCGAAAGTGACTATGGTAAGTCAAATAACATCCGCTCCCATGGGAATCGAATGGCAGATAGCGTCCATTGCCCTGCTGGGGTGGTTCAGTATGGGGAATGGACGGATAAGATAGGATAAGATCGATGTAATGATCTTTCCAGCACGTAGCGAACACTAAGGTAAGTGTCCGGGCAAATAGGGCGCGCGTGCCTTGAGCCAAAGGCAACGGCGCGCGAGCTATACTCCCGATTATGTATAACATCTCCCAAAGAGCTACCCTTAAAGTCGGGAGGGGAAGAGACGGAGAGTATAGCTGCGCAGCCGCTAGGCTCTACAAAGGCCGCGCGCGCAACTGTTTGCAAGAAAACAATGCGTACATACTGGCCTAACACCAGACTGTAAGGCAAGTTTCCTCGCAAGGCATTTCACGCAAATGCGAGACAGCCCCTTGAATGGTAAAGGGCTATCGGCTCGGCTAGAGGTAAGCCAAACGGGCCATACCTCACCGAGCAAACGGGTATTAAGGCAAAGAGCCTGAATCACATTAAACAGGCTCGCTACCAGGCGTGAAATGCAAGGCTCGTTTCCGAGCACCTAGAAGGGCGCCTCTGTGGTAGGCGCCCATGCTGGCAAATTGGGCCGCGGGGGCAACAAGGACAGACTAAAATTGATTAGACTTAGGCTTGTTTCTGTCCTCGGGACCCCGAAAGGGAACAAACTGCCTCACGTCATACTTAAATGACTGGTTGCCTGACATCACTTCCAAAAGCAGCTCCCGATCGATGCTCCCCTTTGTATGCCCATCGGCGGTCATATCTCTAGTATCACACCACTGCACATTATGCACTATACCTATAGCCATGAGCTCACGCATCCAGCTAATATGTCCAAGCAAGGTCCGTTCCGTCGGTATCTTAAGATCCTTGCTGGATAGCGATTTATATACCGACTCAGCGTCTATGGTAAGGGATACTTTAATAGCTAGGCCCCCAACTTCACGCATATCTCGTAGTTGTCGTGGAGTCAGAGCCCCTGCCTTGAGCTCGTGGAGAGTGATGAGCGTAGGGTAACACTCATCAAGGTTGTGTGCAGCTGCAAGTGCCTCAGCGGCATAGCTGGACCTAGTCGGTGTGATTTGCATAGTCCGTCACAGAGGTGAACGACGGATTTGCCTTGAGGCGAGTTTCCTCGCCGTAGTACGTTGGCCCCGCGTATGCCATAGCCCTTGGTCTCATCGTCCTCCTCCCCGGTGAGCTTCCGATACCCCGAATCACTGTGTATGTCAACTTCATTCGTCGGCTTCATCCGAGGGAAGGTGATGCGTTTCGGGCCGCTGATCAGCTTTCGCGTCACAGCATTCAGTCGTCTGACTTGTAGGTTGGTGGGCTCTTGGATTCTCTGATGAGAGACCACATATACCATGAGCCAGACTTGAGTAAGAAGGGCATAGGCGAGGGCTCCTCGCAAGCTGACGAACATGTCGGTGATGAGTTTTGTGGCTTTGGCATCGGCCGCCGCTCCTGTAAGTTCTGGGTGTGTGATAGGACGTAGTTGTTTGATATACCCGTCCTGATCCATGGTCACATCCCCTTGGCCATTCTTAGCGCAGCGAACGGCGCAGTTCGTGCATGAGTGTTTGTTAAGCCTGCATTTGCCAAACACCTTTTCGACACGTTGTACATAGTCGTCTATATGTTTCTCTAGGCCTGTCAGATTACTGTCATCGACGTGTTTTGCCGTTAACAAATTTGGCTGAATTCAAATTCAGGATCATAACTTGTCGGTGTAAGGCCTATAGCTCGTGTGGTCGTACGAAGCTTGAGAGAGAACGCTCTTGGGGCGTCCTTTGTACCCGTTCCTGGCTTGAGGCACCTGAGGCAGCGTCGGCTTTCGTCATAGGATGAAAAGCCGGGCAGTGTACGAAGTACCTGGGCACTTCCCGGTGGAAGAGGGAAGCAATGCATGCGAGTTTCCTCGCCGGTGGCATGGGCAAGTTCCTCATAGGTCAAACCCTTGAGGAACGCTTTGTCGATATCCATGGATGCTAAGATCCACTCTGGATGGCATGCCGCCTCACTTGCTAGGAGTCTCTGGGGCTGCCTTCGAGCGGTTCCCGAGAAGGTTTCCACATCGAAAGCCTCAGTGTCCATAAATCCACGAAGGACAAGTCTGAGACGGATGGTTTTGACGTTCTCGGTACCTACCTTCACAAACTTCCACTTATATACATATCTGGATGTCATGGTGTTGGAAGCTTTGGAAAAATCAGACATCTCAAAGCACCGGCTATCAAGCCAGATCTTGAGGTCAGTGTACAAAGCTTCACTAACCTCGTTCGGGTGCGTTGCTGTGTCGGCTTTGGTGAGTAGGTCGTCTTCCTTGACTACCACGGCACGTTTAGCAGCAGAGGATACATATACTCTCATCGTTGCGACCATATCAGTGTCGAGCTGTGCAAGTTGAGTCTGATCCAACACTACTTTTGACATTTCTGATGTGAAACATAACTCGACGTAGGGACCATATTCATCACTGCCAAGAGAGTAGCCCTCGTCAGGTGTGGTTGAGCATAGAGAGACTAGACAGGGCTCTTGTGGCTCAGGCTCGTCTCCGAGCGTTTCCGACAATACGGTATCTTCGTCGTCCACAGATGCTGAAACCAAAACACATTGGTCGGGCAGCATAGTTGTTGGGACGCAGTAGAGATAATCGTCGGTAGTCGTCGTGGGATGAAGGTCCATACGTAATTCATCGTACCACTCTTCCAGCATCATGGCTTCGATCTTATGTTCCTCGTTGTCTTCATAGATTGTCGACAGACGGCCTTCACTTGGCGATGAAGCACCTGGGGTGTCTGGTGGGGGCGTGTTTCCAGGCGAATCGGGTTCTCCAGACGTGGTGCCCGAGTGCTGATACGTGGCCAGGTCGTCGTGAAATCCTAAGGAAGGAACATGTGAGGTCAAGCATTTGATGAGTCTGGAATGAGTGATACCAGTGATTTGAGAAATGTTCAGACCAGTGCCCACACACTCATAATAGTGGAAGGCTGGGCTAACATCACTGTCGTAGTGGATCAGCGTAGACCCGGTGGCGTACTTTACTGCAGGTAGACATGACACACGTTTGGCCAGTCTAACTGCTACTACGTGTTCTACTCGGAAATAATCTCGCACGAGATACTGCAGTGCAAGATGTACGCACGGGTGAAACTTGCTGTCGTCTGAAAGATTGAGGTTCCCCTTGTAGTCTGGGATGTAGCCAAAGACTTTGGCAGGTTTCCCTGCGCAAAGGTGTGCCACATACGTAAGAACTGTTTGCATGGCCATATTATCCATGCCGAGCCCCCGTGTAAGGAGGCATTCAATGTAGAGCGCGTGGCGAGCATCAGGATACATCACAATTACCTCACGAGATCCTGCCTTGACAACGATGCGTCCTCTTTCAGGCACGTTACGGATCACAGGGAATGGGCCGTTCCAGCCTCCATGATCGTCCTTAGTGGCAGTGTGTCGATGGTAGTCGACCAGATCCCCTGCTGAGTAAAGGCGAGCACCATCTGGAGCCGTTTTG